ACTCTATGAGAGGTAATTCCTGCCGGTTTGTCAATTAAAAGAAGGCCGTCCATGTTGATTAAAAAGGAGTTTTTTGGCTTGTGGAAGATTACAAGATATTGCTATTATTCATAAGAGATAAATTAAATTATTGTTATTTACTTTTTCTTACTAAACCAATTACTTTAATACTATATTATAATTTATTTTAGTAAGAATCAGAGCAAAGGATAGAGAAGGGGAGTTTGCGGCTCCCCTTTGTTGATCATCAATTAATTATTGCTTTTAGGTGGTATTTGGATTTGAACTTCTTGATTATTTTGTTCCTGTTGAGCGTTATTTTCTTCCTCCGTTGGCCTGGATGGTAAAGGCTTTGAAGAAGAGTCATCAATAAAAGAAACAACATGAGTAAAATCAGCAGTATTTAAGTTTTGTCGTTGAGTAGTTAATACTTGCGGTTGAAAATCAGCACTAAAATTTTCTAGAGGAAGGAGATTTGCTCTGTTTTTTATCATAGCAAGTTTCTGTATTTCCAATTTAATCACTTGCTCCTTAATTTTGCGAATCTCTCCTAACTTCTTAGGAACTAGTTTTTTTTCGGTTAGAGTTTGTTCAATTCGCGATCTTCTTTCAATCAAATAATCCCTAACCTCTTTATCTCATAAGAATACACTTTCTTGGTCGCTATTATTTTCAGAATTAGTAATTAATTCTTGCAATTTTAAAAATTCATCTAAGTAAGATTGATAATCGTCAGTTTTGGTTTTGGCTTTTTGGGGATTCATGCTGTTACTTTTTAATTCATTCTTAGCAGAAGAAACTAATTTTTCTAAACGGTTCTGATTATTTCTTATATCTGCTTCTAAATCTGCAACTTTGACGTTTTTAACCACTACTTGTTGCAGGTCATTCGTTTTTTTATTTCCTGGAGTTAAGGTTAATGGTATCTCTATTGCAGATTGTTTTATGAACTCGTTATTTTTTTGACTTTCTATCTCTTTAATTTCATGTTGTTTAGTTTGCAATAAGCCAGATAATTTTTTTTCGAGATCCTGATTTTGTTGTTTTAGTTGATTTATTTCCTTATTTTTATCATCTATCAGTTTCTGGTAATCAGCCTCAACCTTCTTGGACTCTTCTTCTCGTTTTTTCAATATTTTTATTCAGTCATTTTCTTTTGTTGATTTTAAATCCACTGGCATTTGGAATTCTTGCTGCCAACTTAACCTTCGAACTGGTGATTCGATTATTTTTTGTTTTCTTGCCAAGTCTTCTGGATGAGTAACATATTCCCACTGCTGTTGGCCACTACTTGCTTCTAGAACTTGTGGATTACTATGACTTTTTACTACCTTTACTGCTTTCTGCTTTAGTTTTTTTCCTATACTTTTTAAGCCATGAGCGGATTCTTTTTCATATATATCCATATTAACATCGAGTTCTCTTTCACTCTTACTATTTTTCCTGCTCAGCATTTTTCTTTTAAACTCCATATCAGTTTTCACCCTTTTTTCAATACCAGTTATTTCTTCAAACGACTTATCTGAATCATCAATTTTAATCCTGTTGATTTCTTCTTTATAGCCACGATTATTTAATTCCAAATCTTCTATATTTAGGTTTCTTGTTGCTAATGAACTTTCTATTCTTTCAATAACTTCTTTTTTAAAAGAACTATTTTTCTTTTCTTTTTCTGTCTTTCTAATGGTGTCAGTCATCTTAACACGAAAGGCTTCTAACTCTTCACCTTCTAGACTTCTAACCTTTTCTCTTCAATCATGATGAGGAATCCATAGTTTAGGATCCAAATCTTCTTCTTCTAACTTCCAATGTAAACTTAACTCGTTGTTTATATAGAATATAACCTTTGTCTGAGCCAACCGTTCTCTTTTATTAGCATCATCTTCAAAGAATTCTTCATTACCTGTCGCCTCTAAATGTTCTTTCCATTTTTCTCCATATTCGTCATACATACTTCTTATCATAGAATCAGAAAGAACTCTATATACCTCTCCAATTTCCTTAAATTTTTCCGTGGCTACTTCTCGGTTTTGGGCTAAATGACCAGTAGAACCAAATTTATCCGGATGCCACTTCAAGACTAAATCCTTGTAGGCTTTTTTTATTTCTTCTTGGGTAGCGGTTTCGCTAACCCCTAATATTTCATAATATTTTTTTGGCATAATGATAAATGTTATTAGTTAAAACTCTATTCTAATTAAAGTTGTGCCACGGATTTATATTTGTAGGAGTTTCTATGTGTGCATCCATTTCTAGAATTTCTTGATTCCATGCTTGCTGATCTAATTTAAGTTGCAACTCTGCTATCTTCTCACAACACGATTTAATTTCTCTCACCTCGCTTCTTTCTATGTTCCTAGAAAGTTCTCTTTCTATTTCTCTTGTTGTGTTTGTAGTATCGCTAGGCCTAAAACTTCTTTTAGCCTGGACACAACAATCTCGCAAGTTGTAAATTTGTTCTTCATTTCCTACACGACGAACAATTCTTTCTAATTTTTCTTCTTCGATTTGTAGTTCATACCTACAGTTTTTTTCTCGAAGTGCTTTTATCTGATCTTTTAACGAACTAATTTTGTTGTTTAACTTCTGAGTTTCCCCCTCGTTATATTGAACTAAATTTTGAGTTCCACCAATCCTAGGCTGTCTTGATTGCAGATTACCTGGTGCTGATTCTAATCTATCAACTAGCCCATTGACTTCTACCACTTTCTTTTCTAAAGCTATTTTCAAATCATTATAGCAATTGCATTGCTCTAATATTTTATAAATATCATGCAAACGGTCGCTCATAGCAACTTGATCAATTACGACATCAGTCGATTTGTTAGAAATTTCCCTGTTTGTCTTATTCAAAAGCTTTTTATTGGTAGTAGTAACAGATATTCTTTTTTCTAATTGTTTAGTAATTTTATCGATTTCTTCCTTACTTACATATTCTTTATTGTCATGTATTGTTTTATCTTTCTTATTTCCTAAATTTTTTATTAATAATAATATTTCTTCTTTAGCTTGTTTAATGTGATTACATGTCATATTTGTATTATTTATGTTAAATTTGCTTTATATTATGGAATTGAATTTATTTTAAGAGTTTACTAACTTCTTTACTAGATCTATTACATTATCCGACAGGCATGAGTCGTCGCAATCACAACAACCGCATGCACTACTCCCACTGCCAAGGCAATAGGTTTTATGACTTCTAAAGTTATCTCTGCCACTTTTTTAGTTTTATCTAAACGTGAGACTTTTTGACTAGTCTCAACATTACCCTCTTGGTCAATTCGAATGTGATTTTTACTTAATTCTTGGCTGAACTTATTAATAACCGTTTTTAACTTCTCAGGTTGATAAATACTTCTGCAATTGTACAGGTGATCAGTTAATATACAGTTAGATATGGCTCTACCCGTTAAGCGGCTGTTACGCTCATTTACAGATAAATTACGACCCTTTAGAGGTTGGTTATCTACATGAATAACTCCGTTACATGAATTAACTATTTCAGAAACTAACCTATTCCTTTTCAAAGCAGCAATATCTTCTTCACACTTTTTTTTATCATCAAAATACTCAAACTTGGTTCTTACTATTGTAGTGTACTTAATAATATCTTCGCCAAAAATGTTATCTTTCAGCAAGTTGTAAAAGTCTACCTCTTCTCTGTCAATTCTTCCTCCACTACCTATAACAAAAAGAATTTGATTTATTCCTTCTTTAACCGCGTAGGTACCTTTTGCTATTTCTAGTGCTGCATTATCTCCCATTACGCTACCGTTATTTCCTAATCCCACAGTATCTATAATTCGATAATTGTTGTTATGTATCTTTGTTTTCTCTATCTGTAATTCTGTGGTTACACTCGCTGGACTTGCATCCTCTTCAAATACTTCTTCAAATTTTCCGTTTTTATTTAAAAGAACATTAGCCAGAGTTGACTTACCACTACCAGTCCGGCCAATTATCAGTATGTTTCTTGCATTTCCATTATTTCTTTTTGAATAACAATCCATAGAACACAGATATTCATTACTTTTTTCATCACTAAATCACGCCCTTCTACTGTCTCCTATGTGATTACCGCACTGACTACAATATGTATTTTTTGGCATATTTTTACTTCTTAATTATTAAAATTAGTTTTTACAATCGCTGTTTCGCTTTTTAACCCCTTATAGCAAACCAGGCAGCAATTGATTTTTAAAGTTATTCCGATTTGCTATCTCATATCGTTTTGACCATAGGCAATTTATATTTAATTTGTGGTATTTATTAAAAATCTCAATTTAATCCAACTATCGCTTACTTCTTAAACTTTCTTTCTCCTCTTCTGACGATTCCTCGCCAGAACAATAATTAAAAGCAAAGCCAGTATTCCTATTATTCCACCCCCTATATAAAGAGGCATTTTACCCCCTTTATCTTCATTTCCAGTAGAATTATCAGTTTTATTTTTTTCTTCTAACTCCCGCAATTTAGCCTCCAACTCCGCTAATTTCCTTTTCTTTTCCTCTAATTCTTGTTCTTGTTCAGGAGTTTTATTAGGATTAGATTCTAAGGTGGAAATTTCAGATTGTAATTGGGATTGTTGGGTGAGATTGTTGTCTCTCTCTCTCTTGTGGATTATTGCCTCCTTTACCAGTTAATTTTTCTAATTCTTTTAAGAATTCTTTTTGTTTGTTAACATATTCACGACCAAGTCAAGACCCATCTTTTTTAAGTTCTTCTTCAATTTCTTTCATTTCACAATTAGAACATTTAGCATTATCAAACTTAGAACCAAAAATGTTTTTCTTATACTTAGTAATTCAATCAGTATAGGCTTGGGTTAATTGAAAATAAGACTTACCACAACCACTCTTTCAACATTGTTTTTGACACTTATGCTTGATAATTGTTCTATCCCCATTTTTTTGGTGCTCTTGACAATTTTTAACTGGTTTAATACAAATTGAGCAAGCAAGACCACTCTCTATTCCTTGTTCATTGATACATGAAAAGAAATTATCCCACAATTCTGCTTTTTCTCCTTTGCTTTCTAACTCTCTTTTCATTTCTTCCATACAAGGGGAACAAACCCTATATTCTTTTTCTCTATTAAAAAAATGAGAAGGGGTTAAATTACTTTGACATTTATGACATTTCTGATTGGGTGTTGACATTATATTTATATTTTTTACATTTTTGAACACACAATAATAAGTAGCACCAATTTTTTTAAACTATTCTTTTAGACTAATACTAAAAGCCTAAATAGATAAAAAAATTCTGAATACGAGTAAAATTATAATATTATAACTAGAAAATTAATATCTCTTTTTTTATATAAATGACCAAAGAAATCCCTAATGCTCAAATCCTTAGAGAACTACTGGAAAAATATACTCAAAAGGAATTGGCTAACAAATTTAGAGTAAATGAAAAAACCATTCGTAGACATCTTAAACCCTCTAACCAAGAAAGACAAAAAAGAGGAGTTAAAGAAAAAATATTTGGTATGGTTGAAACAAAATTGCTCTCTTTTACTGCTTATCGTTCAGAAGATAACACCCTAACTCAGCAAGAAATGGTTGATCGTGTTAAAAAAGAGGAAAAAGTTAT